TATATATATTGGCGATTTCAGGTGGATGTCTTAGGAGCCTGCACAGCCCACTCTGAAAAAAATAAATGAAGATGTTTTACGTCCCGTCAACACAATTGGTCACTTTTAAGAAAGCGTTTCCAGAAATCTTGACCTACAGCAAAAGTGGGCTTTGCCCTACCTATGGGAGAAGTTTGGTTTCATTGGTGTGTACATGTGTTCGGTTATAGAGAAAATGCTCCTTGTCTTTTTAAGAAACTGAACCGGTGTCAAAAACTTTATCTTCAATCTTCTTAAAACAGCATTTTTCGGGATAGCCCCATTGAGCTTTAAAGCGACCAATTTAGATTATATATATTCTGCAAAATGAAATGTATCGGGTGGTTGGTGGGGGCTCTTGTGTTTGGTGCTCCTTTCTTATCAAATATCTATTGTACTTTTCTCTCATCCATTGTTGTACTTGTTACTCTGTTTTAACACTTCTAATATTCGGCACTTATATCTCACCTTTTTGCGTTTCAAGTGACCTAAAAATCTTACTAAAACTAAAAGAATTGTAGTCGTTGCTAAAGATGAAATGTTCACTTTTGAAAAGGCATTTTCCAAGATTTTTGCTCCCCACTAATATAGTAATTGTGTTGAAAGAGGCGTTAAACCCATACCATTTTTCACCTCTTACCTATAGCTCGGTCCTACTGGATATGAGAATCAAATCTCCAAGACTTGCCTCTAAAAATAACCATTATAATAATATAGAAAGGAGTATGAATTTATTAGCAAGATTTTACTGAATACGGCAAATCTAAACAAATTATCCCAACATAAAAGCTAAACTCATGTCTGGTGAACGCAAGGAGAAAATCGCCACAATAACGCTACAGATGCCAGTTTATACATGTGGCTTTCGAAACTCAGAAGGGGGTCACAGTTGGAGTGGGGGTTAGAGGGGGGAGGGGACTTTCAAGCAGGTTACAGTTATATTTGTGGGTGGTTGAAAGATGCTGATGGTACATCCTATGATTTTACTCTCTCTCTCTCTCTCTCTCTCTCTCTCTCTCTCTCTCTCTCTCTCTCTCTCTCTA